ATAAAGAGCAATTAAAATTAATTATATAAGTATTCTCACCTTAATTAATTGTAGACTGTAACAATCCAAAGTTTGCAGGTGCGAAAAGCAAACCAAATCCAGTAGAAATGCCAAAGAAAACTTGCTCTTTTAGTGGAATTCAAATAAATCTCCTCTTGTTCTCACTTATCTGTTGAAAATTAACTGCATAATGTTGTAAGGTGAAGATAAAAACAGCAAATCCAGAATACAGTCCAAGAAAGACAACACCAGTTATTAGTTGCCTCAATATGATCAACCTGAACTTCAATTTTCTCTCATCTGTTGGATGATCTGTAGAAATAGGCAAAAAAATATTAATTAAAGAAGGGATTAAGTTAAGTAAAACATGAAATACAATAAAAACATGCACCGAAAGGCAAGTAAATAACTTCATTATAAAATGGCGACGTGGGCGTCGATTACATTTATGACAGAAAAATGTCAAAAGCAATAGAAATAACCATAAATGGAACATGTCAATTTATGCTGTAAATAATAGATAATTGATAGAAGAGAAGCTATAGATGCCAGAGAAATAATTAAACAGTAAAACAACCGCATACCTCAAGTATATTCTATGGTGCTCGAGTTTTACTCCTAAGCGTTGACAAAAGAGAAGTGCCTCCAACAATAGATGCTCGTGAAAGGGAAAATAATACCACACATGATGAAATGAGCCACATAGTAGAAGACATCACATGTGTAACTTTATATACATCGGTGTCAATTGGACTGCACGTATTTCGAAAAATTGCACCTTTCATGTCCAAGAGGAAGCATTAATGGGACTCCTCTTCTCTAGGTTTCTAGTCCTTATTTTTTCACCTTGTTGAAACCTGTTGAAACAATTTTATGTTAGTTTAATCTCAAATACTATGTTTTAAAATATTACTTCCATCAATCAAATAAGATACCATCAAACTAAGTAATTAACTACTACAATTCAGAAAAATTAATAATTACAATAATCATTATTTAGATTTAGAAAATCACAAATCATTTCGTAAATGTAACTTTATAAAATAATTAAAGATTACTTACCCTTTTTACAAATGGCCTCTGGTGAATAGATTCTTTTTGTTTCTCTTTTGATACCTTAATATTTAAAGCGTTAGATGCAAGTAGTTTTGTTTTATATTTTTAATAAAGGAATTTATGTAGATTACTTCAACTTATACCGTTTTGATTAGTTTTAATAGACTAAGAAACTTTAATTTTTTGTACCTTATATGTTCTTCATTTCTACGTAGACTGCGTAACATTAACGTATATCACTTACTCTTTAAGAGATTTGAACGCATCTATTTTATTTGCGTTTGTCTATGCTTTATATCTATTGTTATCTATGATATATTCATTGAAGTGGAGGGGAAGGGGGTATCTGTAGTCTAGCTCAATGGATATATTGTGTCGGATTTATCTATGATATGAGATCCTGTACGGTTGTTTGTGACTTAAAAGCGTTTTGATATATTTTAGTTATTTATTTAATGCGCTATCCTTTTGTGTTCTATTTCATGTCATTATTTAACAGTATGGTTATTTGTTCATCGAAACCACTTTTAGTTCCAGTGAGTGAGTTAGAAAATATTTGAAGGTCCATGACATATTTGAATTATAAATTTGTTTACTTCAGCATTACTTACTTATTTACTTTTTAACATTTTGTTTTCGTGATGACATTTTCTTAATTGTGAGACTAAATTATTTATTATTTATATGAACATTGTTGTAGCTGTCCAGTTTTACTTAAGAATGTTTCAGTACTTGGAAAGAAGGGTGAATGTGTCTTTCTTTCACTGGGAACAGATACCATGTTAACTGTTACAATAGTTTAACGTCTTCAGTGGCACCATCATAAAGGTAAATAGCAATTTTAAAGATAATTTGTTGTCAATTTGCTTTTCTCGGCCTCTTTAATTACTGTATTTAGGTTAGTTAGAAAGCAATTGAAATTACATCTTCATTTTATTTGTCTTTTGTGTCATTGTCTACCATACATACTAAATTATTTATATTTGAGTATTGTTACATGTAACAATGCATTTTACAAGAGCTTTACACAAACTTTTGATGGTGGATGTCTTCAGGCATTACTCAGCTATTCTCTCACTCCAGAAGTATCTGATCAAAGAAGCAATAATGTACACTTAAAACAGGCAATGTGGTATCTTTTGCCAGAGAAAGGATTTACAAGGATGAATTGGCTGTGCCTTGAGTGCACTAGGGGTTAACACAAACAGGAGGGTAAGTGACAAAATAATTAAAATTAATTTGACTTTGGTTCAAGAGAAAATGATCTATTAAACGGCTTATGAATGTATACAGGTATAAATTCTTTTATAATTTTTATTTATTGCATATAATACAATCTTACAATTCAACTATAAAATGAAGTTTCTTATATCCGTTTTACGACTAACCATGTAAAAAGAATAGGTACTCAAACAAATTTCTTAGAATAAACAATAGGTAAGACAAAACAATACAATACTAGGTTAATTATTTTATGAAGTTGTATTTACGAAATGGTTTGTGATTTTCCAAATCTTGTATTCCATTTGTTTGACAATAGTTACCAGTATAAATTTTTACACTTCTGAATTGTAATAGTTAAGTATTGATTTTGATAGTGT